GGGGCAGTTGTCTTTACATGTCCCACTGTCATTGAAGTGACGACAGGCCTAAAGATGCAATGGGGCAAAACAGATTTTATTTCATTGCAGTTACATGTGAATGATATAATGCAATAATTATGATCTTTTTACCAGACAGTCGGTGTCTTTTGGCCCTGTGCACCCAGCAGCACACTGCACATGACAGCAATCGTTGGGTTTCGGACCCTTACAGCGCAAACAGCCAGATGAGCAATGCACAAAGGTCACTGTAGAGAAAGAGGTACACGTAATTGTCTCAAAAGAGGAATTTCATTACGTTTCACGACAAACCACAAATAATTACATAATTAATTTGCTCAAATTGTCTCTATTTAATCCCTGATAGGAGATGTAGCATTGAACTGATCAGAAATTTTCTCTCGTCTAAACTAGATTTAATACTGTCAAAAAAATTAACACAGTAGTCAAAACAGATATTAATTTTGCCATGAAGCACCAAAAATGCTCATTAACTAATAAAAAAATACTTATAACATTGACAACAAAATTATATGATTATGTAATATATTACATAAATTAGAGCATTCTGGGAAATGAAAGTTAATTTATTAAATATAATATGAGATGAGCTGGAATTTAAAATTGACTTAAACTGAATTAATTCTAAGCACATTTTTTGTTATCAAACCCAAAAAAAACACAGGCCAATGTGCCAGTGACACTCACATATTTGGCAGTCCTGATTTGTTTCTCCCCAGCATCCACCGTCTGAAGGACAAGCTGAAGAACAACGAGGACCTGAAAAAAGATAAGTATTGTTGAGAAATAACAGTGACGCATTAAACAGTCTGATGTATGATGGTATAGTTCTCTAGAAGTTAACTCACAGTGCTTTGGGATGTCTTGCAGGTGCAGTAGTTTGTTTTCAACTTTAGTTACAGTGTCTTCCCAGTTAATTTTCTGAGGAAAGCACAGTTGAGGATTTCCCCAAACATAAACCCCGCCAAGCAGGATTTCTGTGAAACGTAAGCGATAATTTTACTTTTTTTAAATCATTTTACAGCAACTGCACACACAAAGAGCAATTTCAATTTTGAAATATTTTTGAGCTGAGCATAAAAGTGCGTTCACATTTATATGTTGCTTTTATATTTGCACATTTATATTTATATTTATATTTGAGTGAGAAGGAAAAATTCCCATTGTACATTTCAAATCAGGGTCAACTTGGTCATGCAAATTCACTATTTTGACCAAAATAAAACTGCTTGATTTAAAAGTTACCACTTTGTGAGCAGTTCTTCATGCCTCGCTACACCATTAACAATAGAAAATGGACCATTTTGCCCACAAGATCTAACAGAAAATGTGAGAATTTGCTATAGAAATGTCATGACTTTCTATGAGTTCTTAATATTAATTTCTATGACCTTCTAGGCCTAGAAATCACAATTTTAAAATCCCCTAATTTTTCCATTTCTGAATTTTACATGACTCTGGGAACCTTAAACAAATGACTGAATTAGGGTTTCCAAACTGTTTGACAAATTAATTTCCATGTCTTTTCCATGACTTTTAAGTCATGTGTCATTACTGGATAAGGCTTTTTTTTTTTTTTAATTGTACTGATAGCACAAGATTTTAAAATAACAATCAATGCAATGCATTTATTCATTTCATTAAAAAAACACATTAAATACATTCTAAGAGCACTGGAGAAAGACCACTTTGTGTTCTGTAGGAAATAGTTAACATTTGTCACCCAGTGAATCACACTAGCAATTACTCTCAACTGACAGTTTGATGTTATCATTTGAGCTGGATTTACTCAATACACAAGTACTCACAAAGAGCTAATTTTTAGAGCTGAGCATAAAAATTTATATTCACAATTGAAATTTTCATGACTTATAAAATTGTATTCATTTACAGAGAGAATATAAACTTATCTGTGGCATCCCCTAACTAGACTGGTCACCACCCATTTAATCTCAAGTGACTGAGGAAATTAGAGTAGTAAGTAATACCATTTCACGCTTAAATCCAAAAAATGTATAGGCCTATACATTTAAATAAATATAAATTTGACCCACACTCCTTACCTGTAAGACTCCTAAGGTGTAGTTCTCTCAGGCCGAGTTCCGTCTGACTGTAGTGGATGTTGTTATGTACAGCGAGAGCGTAGCTGGAGTTATAAAGCTGACTGCCTCGTATTATCCGCAGATTGTCCAGAGGAACCGAATGCACTGAGACGTGAGCTATCAGCACATACCCCTGAACCTCCACAATCCCCTACAGACAAACAAAACACAAGCACATATTTTCATTTTCAATTTTGATTGACATTGAGACTCATTGTAAGTGAGTAGCTTAAATAAATAGCAATTCTATTATTCCGATCAGTTATTTCAGTTTTACTTGAAGTAGTATATGCCTTTGTTAAGATGGGTCATTCATGTAATGCACAACCCTTTGAGCTTTTTAAAAATTATTATGCCTGTGTAATTTAAAGCATCTATATAAAACAGTATTGTAGTCTTTCAGAAACATGCTATGGTCAAACTCAGGCACATACACATTATTAATTACATTGTGATTATTTACACAGTGGCAAAGAAAATGAACAGGAATGTAGAAAGGGTTGTGCTCCAATATACATCTGCTGTGTAATAAAAAGCACTAGAGATACACACAACAGACACGTACCTGCAGGAAGGAGAGATCTGGATTTCCCTGCAAGTGTGTGATCTCCAGGTTACCATGAACCACCTGGCAGCCCGTGTACAGCAGCCTGAGCATTTCATAATGATTTTCAAGACTGGAGGGTAAAGCCAACTTCATATCGGTCCCGAGACATACTGAAAAATAAAAAAAAGGTGCACACATCAGCAGGGCTGTATAAAATTATATGGATTATTTTTCTTTCCCAGATAAGACCTATTAGGTGCACGCATTCATTTTCGTTATTGTCACACTGACTTATATGGAAGGCATCTTGGACATGCTGACATCTAGCAGTGTGGAAGCAACATTACACAAATGTTTTCAGTTACCGATTTGAACATATAAATATTTGATTAATAAACATTTTATTAGTTGAAAATCAAAATAACTGTTAGTTGCAGCCCTATTTCCAGACAAAGCAAGCAGTGATTTGATTATGTGAGCTCAGTATATTGGTCCTCATGAGGCAACTTGCTCCATGCAAAACGAATCTTTTAATAACTGATTACTGGAAAATAGTTTGCCTTTAAAATTTGCACATGGTAAACTTAAAATCTACTTTCAAACTGCTTTTTGAAATAACCCATTAATTTATGAAAACTTCTCATAGGTATTTGACAAATAACATGTCCTTGAACATTTTTAACATTGATATTTTTGTTTAAATTATGTAAGAATGTACCATGGCTCTTATTGGAAACTGAAAACATTATAGACAAATGAACCAACCTGATCTTACAAGAAAACATAACTGCAATTTCATATGAATTTGTGCAATGTGATTTGTATGGAAACAAACAATTTGTATTTAAATTAAGTAAGCAAGAAGCTGCAATGCTAAACTCAACCCTGTGTGAAGACATTCATTTGTACAAATTCATTTGATCCTGCAAATGATTTTGAAAAAACTTAAAATAAGTTACAGATTGTCATGAGATTATGTTGAAATGATTTCATTTGTTTAAATCAGGAAATGTGAATCAGGTTTTCAAAACTATTAATCAATTAATTTCCATGATATCGCACTTGCAATTATTGAATTTAAAAGAAATAAAAACAGAATAAGGAATGCACTTACAAAGAATAAAGAACAGTTTCTAACCAATCAAATATATAGCTCAAAACTTCATATTCACAATAGAAATGGATATTACATTACCTTTCCATGTAACAATTAAAAAAATTTCATGATATTCATACATGTTTTTTTTCTAGCATAACCATGTGTAAGCCTTGTAAATAACAGTTCTGTCATGACAACTCTCGGAGGGATTGGCATGGTAATGTACATGACAATGTTAATGTATTTGGTCTTGGCGGAATAGATCTGCTACGCTGCTGCTGCTGTTGCGGCGGCAGAGCAAGTACCGAGACTTGCTACTGCCAATAAACCCACAACATGCTGCTGTGAGCATGTAAGAAATATTGCTGCTGCAAATATAACATACATGAAATAACCCCAATATAGCATACACGAATTACCTCATAGCAGATCTATACAGGTGGAGCTGGGGAAGGAAAAGGGTTTCTGAAGCAAGCTGCAACTGCTACGGCAAGCACTAGTCATATATTTGAATGTTGAGCAGCGAGCTCATTGGCTACCGATACAGGAGAGAACCAATCAGCTGTGCCATGTGATAATGATGTCATTAGGTCGGATTTAGTTAGATCTATCGGACTGCGCCATCTAGAGTTTCATGCCAGAACTCTGTATTTGTATGACTGCTATGGAACTCTACATGGCTTTTCTGTGAAATTCTACAGTTACAGATTATGTCTGTGTCATCTATGCTTCAACATAAACTTTGTGAAATCATCTTCATGCAGTTTTATTATAATATCACTTATCTGAACTATCTTCCACACAAAATAACTTCTTGGGCCAGATTTAATTTAGGCAAAATAGCGTTAAAGTGCAATTCCATAAAAGCACCGATGAGAGTGGAAAATTCTGCACGTGATTTACTGACAATGCGCACATTAAAGAACACAGACGCAACCTCTCATTTACATAATGACCAGCGCAATCCACCAAGAGCAGCGCAAATTACTGCCTGCTTTAAGACATGCTTTTTTGGGGCGTTAAATAATGGCGCAAATACCAGTAATTTGACGAGTGCAAACGTTAGTAAATCGCATTGTGTGATTCATTTTAATACTCTCCTTCCATACATTTTGCGTCTGAAGGGGAAACTCCTATAAATGCATATTCAGTAAAGTCCATGCCTTTTCAGTGCTAATTTCCCACTGTGTGTCTTTAGTAAATCCTGACAGTACTATTTTAACGCCAAAAGATGGTTTGCGCTGGCGCAAGCTGTTAGTAAAACTGGCCCCTTATGTTCTATAAAATAAAAGAATGGAAATCAAACTCAGAGTACTGCCTATAAAGTCTGTATTAATATCAATTCAAATGTATTCATTTGACTTACAGCAGAAAATACACCTACTGTCCTCCTGTCTTCGCTTTATCCCACTGCTACTCTGTGCAGGATACTGTAAATAGATGTGTTTGGCACTCTCTCTGAGCGTCCATGTCTTGACAGAGTGTGTGCATGTGCAGTGCTGTACTGAGATTTGTGCATGTGCTTGGAGATATTTGGCCACTCTCATTCACAGATGATTTCCTTTAAGGTCACTGTAGATTCTGTGCACTGTAAACTGCAGGGTAACATCTGACTGTACTGGACTGTAAACCAAAAATTTAAAAATTCTCTCTATAGGTTCATTAGTCTGTTTGAAGAGTTCAGATGCAAAAGCCTCTAAGTGCCGTCTAAAATTTTCCTCTAAAATGAGCAGTTTTATCAGGCTTCTATGTTTAAGTTCAGTAATTTTACTCTAATGGCAATATATATATATATATATGTCCTTTTTTATGCAATTAAAGTGAAATAACTGAACATAAATATAGGAGCCTGATAAAAATGCTCATTTTAGAACATAATTTCAGACGGCACTTAGAGGCTTTTGCATTGTTGATTTTTTGATAACATTTAAAGTCAGTGAATTCCAGGTTATCCTGTACATAATTCATAAATCTGTACACATTATTACACAGATTTAAACATTTTCTGTTTAAATGTCAGAGCTGCGTTGATGAAAATTTGCAAATAAGTGTGATTTTTTTTGGAATAAGCTATTTTTTAACGTGTTGAAGCATTATTGAAAAAGCTGTTTTTGTGCACTAACAGAAGTGACATATGTATGCATGCTGATGGAGGCTGAATAAGTCACTGTTTTCTCCAGTTCACATTTCCTTTCCAAGTCCCGATGCTCCTCTTTCATCATCCTAACTATTCCTCATCTGTGTGCATGAGTGTGTGAGGGGCGGCTGGTGGTCTTGAATAGAAAACAACTCTATTAGTCCATGTCTCTGTGGGCTCTTTCTCTTTCTCTTTCTGTCTCATTGTACTTCTGTTTCTACATAATAATTTTTTAACTCCTACTCGCACCTGATTCAGACTGGCTGAAATGCAGTCTCAATGTATCGCCAATGACATCCAAACCAACAGGTTTTACACACACACACACACACACACTCTCTCTGAGTACCTCTGATTTTGCTTGATAGTTTTATGCAGTTGTTTAAATCAATATATTACCAAGGTCATTTAACTGGCTGATATGGTTATTTTATTGGTGCCGCTTGTCTGATAAACAGTAGTAGTATTCTTTATTTATCCGCATGGAGAAATTGTTTCAGTGGACTTCTGCATGGACATTCTTAACAATAACCAACAAATAGAGGGGCAAGACAACATAAAACTTCAAGAATCTACAAAAAAAGTGATTTTGTCAAATCAACAAAAATGTGCTACTTACTAATAACTTATAACTAATAAGTGAACTACTCAAAAAAAGAAACAAACAAACAAAATGGAAAAAATTGCTTTAAATTTGTTCAGTGTTTTTAGAAGGTGAATGGATTCTCCTCAGCTGACTTATAATAAATAAACTAGTTTTATAAGTAAATCATATTACAGATAGGGCTGCACAATCTGGGGGAAAAATCTAATTGCAAAATATATCAAATATATGATTAAAATCAAATCAAAATGACTATATTATTATTATTTAATAAAAATATTTTAAAAACTTTTACTATTGTAATGTTTCACAGTAAAATAAAAAATCAACTATTTGAGAAAATATCCAAACCAACTGCTGTTCAAGGAAAATTGAAGATGGCACATATACACATACATATACAAATCTGCACTGAACTTTCAGTATGACTGATATCAACAATGTCACACATCATGTGGCGTACATGCGAAGTTCAGTTAATTAAAGGGGTCATATGATGCGATTTCAAGTTTTCCTTTCTCTTTGGAGTGTTAAAAG